TTCTGTGAGGTTATGTGAAATCTATCTGAATTAAGGAAGTTTGGTCACGTATTTGGTGGAATTTTATGCAAGACGCTTTGCTTTTGTTTTCATTGTTAACCAGCGGAGCGACGCCATTATAAAAGAAAAAGCGCATCAAAGTTCAGCCGCTCCATCAACAACTATCTCGGGTTGTCCGTCGGCGGAGGGAAAATAACTATGGCTCAAAAGGTTAAAACAAACAAACATTATATTTGTAAGAAAACTTTGGTAAGTGGATATATAATAATAGTCTCTACAGATGCTTAATGAGTATAGTAGATAAATTATGGACACATCTTAGGCGCTATCATTACGGACCATAATCTATATATTGTTACCCACTTATGCAAAATAATTGACAAGGTTGTTTGTTATGTGGTTGGGTAATTAACACGTCCACTGTTCCTAGTAATATCAAATTTCACTTTATTTTCGTAGATTTATATCGCTGTTTCTTAACTTCCCTTCTGCATTTAAATTGCTAGCGTCAAGATGAATGAGTTGCAAAACATACTGCAGAGTTCATACGTGTTGAGTACACCTTCACAACTCTACCACATTTACTGTTATCCCTGACATAATGCATCAATAATACGTGACACATAAAACAAAATTGTAAAGTTGCAAAGTGTTTGTTAAGAGAATGGAAGCGGCCTCACCTGCACGAGCCTGTGTACCTGAGCTGTCTGCCGACTGTTTGTGGTCCTGTCAACAAAGAACTGTTAACACGTCACCACCGTTTATATAACATTAATGTCAGCTATTTCTATAGTCTTTGTGTTCTTATTCAGTTCACTAATCACTCAAAACACAGAAGGTAATCCAGAGTCGTCAGTATTGAAAAGAAAACGAGGAGAGGTCAGCACTGAACGAGTTACTCCACATCATCTGGCCACGGTACCACCAGGAAGGTAGAGTAAGGAAGCTCCACTTCCCCATACAGATGCGTGCCTAAAAAAAACAGCATCAAATCACGAACTGGGCACTTAGTAGTTGGGTCGGTCACCGATAGATAGCGCCACTGTCGCGTGAGTGTCGTCTGCAACAAAGACTATTTGGTTATATGACGTCTGGGAAGATATTGGGAGCATAATGTGTTGTCTAATGGTAGACCCTGCTGCCATATGTGACCAAGTCCCAGGTTGCTCATTTGACTTTCTGTCTCATTTACACACAATTTTAGGGTCTCAATTGTCTCTCTTACCTTTGACAACACAACATACAGACCCTGTACTGTATATTGTTTCTCACTCTTGATCTTTATTGAATCTTTGTATTTCTTTGTGGTTCTTTATTATTATTATTATTATTATTGTTGTTATTATTATTATTATTATTATTATTACATTTTCGCCCCAGACACTGATGTGGGTGAGTGACCTGTGCCGGGGTGGGCTAATCCCAGTAAAGAAAATAAATAAAGACAAAATATGACTGGACATTGAAGAGTCGTTCAGTGTGACAAAACCAAAGTTACAGGTAATGACTCCACGTGGCTGTCATGGTTGTCTTTGTAGGAAGGACAAGAAAAGCCACAGACATTTAAAATTCCATCGCTTCCCTAAAGATAAAGACTGGTGAGATTATGCCATGATTAATTAACTTGTGATATGGATAATCTTTTTGATTTCTTCTCTCCTAAGTATGAAAAGTTGTTGGTAAACGTTTATATAAAGATGAGAATTTTTAGTCAACTTAAATTCAGGAACAGGGACACGAAACAGAAGAACGCATTGAAAAGGAAAAACCAAAAGTTAAATAATGATATGTTTATAAAGTGTTATTTTCACAGGGTGTTGAGCAAGAGTAATGTCCTGTAATGGTTAGGTTTGAATTTGTTCTTATTTTGTTTTGATTAATTTTATGATTGTGGCACATTAATGTTGTCTTAAATTATGCATGGCAAAAAACATTGTACGCCAAGGGATATATTTTCTTGGTTAAATTTACCTTTTATTTAGTCATTTGCATTATTATTTTTTTCATTGTTACTTTTTTTGTTATCTGTAAATTCAATTTGTTTTTTGCTTATATAAATGTAACCCATATTTAACCGGACGTATTTCCTCATTTCTTGTAGTCAAGCGTGTGATGTTACTTTACTCTTGTTTTCTTTCTCAATAGGAATGTGTTTGTAATTCGGTGCAACAAACACCTCACAGCAAACGGAATATTTTGGGGCAACATTTGATTCGACATCGTTACTATAACAAACAGTGGAGCAACAGTGAAGATATCTTATTCATTTATTAACGAACAGCCAAGTTTGTCTATTCGTAATTGGTGAATCTCTATCTCTCTCTTTGTACATTCAATTTCTACGTCTCTTCCTTCCTATCCTTCTCCTTCCTCTTCTTTCTTTTCAAGCTTCCTTCACTACCTCCCTCCTTCACTCTTCCAAGTTCCTTCTCTACCCCTCTCTCTCTCCCTCCTCTACCCCTCTCTCTCTCCCTTCTCTACCCCTCTCTCTCTCCCTTCTCTACCCCTCTCTCTCTCTCCCTCCTCTACCTGTGTCTGTCTCTCCCTTCCCCCTTCCGTCTTTCCTACCACATGTGTTGTCCCAGGTCAGAGCGGTTGGCCTTAATAATCCCCTACCTGCCCTAGCCATGGCCTCGACCTGGCCCTGAGTCGCTCCACCAATATTGCTTCACTGACAGATACAATTGAGGGTTCTACTGGCCACGACCAGTGTGGGGAGGATAGTGTAGGGAGGATAGTATGGGGAGGATAGTGAGGGGAGGATAGTGGGGGGAGAATAGTGAGGGGAGGATAGTGTGGGGAGGATGAGTGGGGAGGATAGGTAGTGGGGAGGATAGTATGGGGAGGATAGTGAGGGGACGATAGTGCGGGGAGGATAGTGTGGGAAGGATAGTGTGGGGAGAAAGGTAGTATGGGGAAGGAAGTGTGGGGAGGATAGTGTGGGGAAGAAGATATGTAGGTATTGGAGTGGTTGTGGGCATAATAGACCCCGGTTATAAGAGACCCCAGTTATAATAGACCCCAGCCATAATAGACCCTAGTTATAATAGACCCCAGGCATAATAGACCCCAGTTATAATAGACCCCAGCCATAATAGACCCCAGTTATAATAGACCCCAGGCATAATAGACCCTAGTTATAAGAGACCCCAGCCATAATAGACCCCAGTTATAATAGACCCCAGCCATAATAGACCCCAGTTATAATAGACCCCAGGCATAATAGACCCCAGTTATAAGAGACCCCAGGCATAATAGACCCCAGTTATAATAGACCCCAGTTATAATAGACCCCAGGCATAATAGATTCCATCATATCTCTTGTAGGTTTGTCAAAATATTTCGTCACACACATAGTAGTCACTTGTAATAAAGCTAAAGGTGGTTTTATTACATTGATTAGCTTTTGACTATGGCTAAAGCATTACACTAATTACTTGTTAGTGATTTTAGTTGTCAAAGTAATGCCGTTTGTGTGTTTGTGTTACTTAATATTTTTTTCTTCATATTCAGCAATTTTTTCCATTTTTAATATATATATATATATTTTTTTAGCTTTTTAATTTTGAGTTTTCTCTGTTAATTCTATTTTTGTATTATTTTAATCTTCTTCTCTTTCCTTTATTCTCCCGTCATCTATTTTATTGCTTATCTTCCTTTATTTATTTTTGGTGTAATGTATTTGGTGTTTTTCATATTTTTTCACTATTTTTTTTTGTCATTTCTCTCTACTTCTTTGTTTTTTCTTTTTATACTCAATTTCCTTTCTTGTTTACCTTCATTTCTAATTTATCTTATGTTTCTTTATTATTGTTTCTTTATTATTCTTTCCCTTTGTGTTTCATTTGGTGTTTTATTTTATTTGTATTTCTTTTGTCTATTTTTTTTAGTTTATTTTTCACTTTCTCTTCTCTATTTCTTTACTCATTGTTGTTATTGTTGTAGTTTTTTGTTGTTTGTTTTGTCATTGGTGGTGGTGGGTGATAAGTGGTGTCAGATGGTGTCAGGTGGTGTCAGGTGGTGTCAGGTGGTGTCAGATGGTGTCAGATGGTGTCAGGTGGTGTCAGGTGGTGTCAGATGGTGTCAGGTGGTGTCAGATGGTGTCAGATGGTGTCAGATGGTGTCAGCTCTCAGTCTCTCTAAGATGTGTATATATGTTTACCTCATGAGAGAGAGAGAGAGAGAGAGAGAGAGAGAGAGAGTCTAATATCATTAAATGGGTGTGTTGGCCTGTTTCTTACTAAAGTCTAAATTTATTTTACTTGTGAGTCTTCTTAAGCGTAAAAATTTAACCCTGATATATTCTCAGTATCTTAGATAATAGGTAAAAGTAGTTATCTTTCACCAGAGTTTGTTTAATATTACTTTTATTTCATCTTATGCTTCAAATACCCACTTAAGATAATACTGACATGAGGATCAAATTTCCTGAAGAAGATAAGAAATATTCATCATAGTTACCCCTCCACAATATTTAGTTTCTATTCCAGTTTTCTTTAATCGCAGACTATTATAAAATTGTAACTTAAATGTTTAGCTATCATTAATGGTGTTTTTTTTCTCCGCTACTGCCTTCTTCTGTATTCAGTAACTTCTCCCTTCATATATAATTCATTCATTCTCTTTTGACTTTCTATTAAACTATTATAATATTTTCTTAACATTCTATTTACTGTCCTTTAAATGCTTAGTCCAGAGAAAAAGTATATTTTAATCGTCTAGTTGTCAATTTAGATGTATGTCTTGTTAACCAAGGTATTTCATATCTAAATTTGTTTCTCGTTAACCAAAGTGTATTTCAAATTCATGTTACAGTGGCTTGTAACGGCACTACTACTACTACTATCATCACTACAATTACTGCTACATCTACTCTTACTATTACAAAAGCAACAACTACCACTACTACTACTAATAATAATGATACTATTAATAATAAAATGAACAACAGTAATTCAATAAAAAATAGGAGCGCTCACAAAATTGACTATACGGTAATATTATTTTATTTATCAGTTGTGTATGTGTGTCTGTCACTACAACTCCGGTGACGTAACAGTGAATAAGAAAAAAATATTACACGTGTCGACTGGAAATGAAAGTGTCACCAACATACTGTATTTACACGAGGGCTGTATTGTGTATTTTGTATTTTGATTACAGCGTCGTGTATAGCCTTACTTAAAGAGTTCATGTTCTCGGCTGTAAGTTGTCTTGAGTATACTTAAGTATGAGGTATAATGTAGGCTATGTGTCATGTTTTATAAGTGAAGTACCTACTAGCTTACAGTGGGTCTATATTTTAACATTCAACACAAAAAAGTCATGTCTGTTGAAATGAACTGACTACTTGCCTGCCTTCTATAACCTTACATTATGTGTCGGGTTGAGGTGTAGATGTCATTTTTTGTGTCCGTGTGTCCCAAGACCCAGTTTGTCCAACATCGACTATCGGGTTCGGTGTCTAGATCAATAATGAGGTGACGCACACGTACGCAGCTACCATGGCGATGTGTTATGCTCTCAGATAATATTAGTGGCCACTTCACCTCGCAATTCTTACTTTGTAAAGATTTCCCATAATTCAAATAAAGAGCGAGAATATATTATAGGTCTGCTACACGTTAAGGTGAGCACAGTGACCGTGTCGGCTCCTTCACTATGTTTTGTGTTAGTAGTGTTAGTCAACTTGGGTGCCTGACCCGACTCAAGTACCTGTGGATGTAAAATGATTCCTGTAACTGGAACACTGGACCTGACTCCTCTAATAGGACCTGACTCCTGTGACTGGGACTGGACCTAAGGGTGATCAGGGCTTCTGGTGTAGCTGGTGAAGGTCTGGTGGTGGCCACGGGAGGTGAAGGTCCGCCAAGCTGTTGTCACATGGATGGAACAGTCATCAGTATATTGTAGGGAACATTTAAGGAATATGTTTTACTTTTTTTTATTGGCTTAACATATGATAAATTGTTCTATTTCCTGTGTACTGAAAAAATTTAACCTAAGGGTTTAAAAAGTAGGTTTATACACCAATAAAAACATATATTTCATAAAACATTTCATACAAAACTCTCATCCATATCATCCAAACCATCTTGTTTTTTCTCTTTGTCGTGGTACACGTGGAAGTGCTTCTCGTCCCCGAACCTCATGCGGGGCGACCCGCTGTAGCGGCGGTGCTGGGGCGGGGTCTCCTCACCCACCTCGGGTTCAGGTCGGGGCAAAGACCCACTGAAAGGCAGGTCGAAACGTCTGTCCAAGGAACGGTACTTGAGCAGGGCGTCCGCCTCTGCCCCGCGGGTTTTGCTGGGACGCGGGAGGGAGCGGTACCCACTGCCCTCAGACCTGCGGGGCGGCGGGTCGTAGTGGCGGCCCACAGACGCACTCACACTGGGCGACTTCTTCATGCAGGAGATGGGGGGCGGCGACCGGGGGATCAAGGGGTCGTACTCGTGACTAACAGTGCGGGTGGGGAAGGTGAAGATGTGGCCACTGGGGTCCCTGCCTAGGTCCCTCTCCCTCTGGTGGTCCCTGTCCTTCGGGTGGTCCCTCTCCCTCGGGTGTTCCCTGTCCCTCGGGTGGTCCCTCTCCCTCGGGTGGTCCCGACCAAGATCCCTAGGAAGATCCCGACCAAGATCCCTAGGGAGATCCCGACCAAGATCCCTAGGAAGGTCCCGACCAAGATCCCTAGGAAGATCCCGACCAAGATCCCTAGGAAGGTCCCGACCAAGATCCCTTGGCAGGTCCCGACCAAGATCCCTTGGCAGGTCCCTACTCATGTCCCTGCCGAGCTCACGTGTGAAGGGAGGAGAGGTAACCAGGGCAACGCCCCCGCTCCTAATGGCACTGCGGGGGGAACCGTAGGGCTCCCTGCCTAGGGTGCTGGAAGCGCTAGAAGAGAACTGTGGGTCCAATAACTCCCCGGTGTCTCCCCGGTCGTCGAGCGAGGCCCGGTATCTGCCCAAGGGTGGCTCTCGATCCCTTAGAATAGATGGTGGAAGATCCCGGTCCCTTAAAATGGATGGTGGAGGATCCCGGTCCCTTAAAATGGATGGTGGAGGATCCCGGTCCCTTAAAATGGATGGTGGAGGATCCCGGTCCCTTAAAATGGATGGTGGAGGATCCCGGTCCCTTAAAATGGATGGTGGAGGATCCCGGTCTCTTAAAATGGATGGTGGAGGATCCCGGTCCCTTAAAATGGAAGGGGGATCCCTTAAAATGGAGGGGGGCTCCCGATCCCTTACCATAGACAGATCCCTGTCCGAGTACCCGCCAAGGCCGTCGACCCCTCGGCCCACGTGCAGGGTGTGGAGTGAGTCGGAGTACGACCCCCGGGGCAGGTACAGGTTGTGAGACACCACGTCGCCGTTGGGTCCTTTCATGGGTCCTCTCCTGCTCTGGTACATGGAGTCATACGTGGTTCTCGGCACTTCGTTTTTATTCACCAGGATTCCACCCTGTGGCTTGGGTGGCTCCACGAAGAGTACCGTCCGCCCCTGGGAGCTCTTGCCACCGTTGTCGGAGCGGCCGTTCTCCTTGATGATGGGCTGCAGGGGCCTGGAGGACTGGCGGATGATGGGTTGGAGGGGGATGCTCTCCTTGGTGTGTGCAGCGTCCTTCACAGTCAGCTGGGAGCTCTTAGAGAGGTGGTTCCCGCTGGCTGGTCCTTCCTTCCCATCCGGCGACTGTTTCTGTTGAGGGAGAGAAGACAAGGAATTAGTGAGTGAGCCACAGGTAGATAACAGGTAGATAACAATATACGAAATTAATGAAGACCGTGAGTGTTGCAAATAAGGATTCCTGTTGTACTTGTTATTAACTCAGGTGGTCTAAATACTGACAGGTAAAGTGTACACACACACACACACACACAGCGTTCATTAGCTATACATTAATTTGCAAATGGACGAAATTAGACGAGGGTTTAGTCCTTTTTAAATGGATCAAAATAATTAACCCCATTTCGAAGCTCATGTGAACTTGTCATGATTTTAATTGCAACTCGACCACCAAAAAAAAAAGATGAAATGCAAATTAAAATAACAACATCATTTGCAATGACATTCTGCTCGACATTATTTTGTAATGAATAAAGAGGAGTAATGTTTATGGTGGTCTGGTAACATTGTCGTCTGTACTCCTGAAGACCAGAGTTCGACACCAAAGCTAAGGTAATGGTGACAGGAGGTTGTGTATTGGGTAGACTCTCTCTCTCTCTGTCTCTCTCTCTATCTTTCTATTCCCCTTTCTCTCTCCTTTTCCCTTTCTCACATTCTTTCTTTTTCTCTCTCTCTCCTCCTCTTCCCTACCTCGCTTTCTCTCCTTCCCCCTCCGTCCCTCACTTTCTCTCCCTTCCTTCCGTCCATCTTACCCTCCCTCTCTCCCTTCCTTCCGTCCATCCTACCCTCCCCTCTCTCTCTATGCCACCTCACCTGGTCTCCGGACAAGATATCCTTAGGCAGCTCAGAGACAGTAGCGGTGGCCGTCCTTCTCACACACTTATGACTTGACTTCCTCAGCCTCAACCTGACGACGGTGACGACAATGATGACTATGATGACGATGGCTCCCACCCCACATACGAACATGATGATGGTAGAGAGGGAGGGTGGTGAAGACGTGCTACCTGCTTGAGGACGGAGATAAGACACAGGTGAAGCATCGGAGGTGTTAATGATGAGGGAGAGAGAGGGTGATGTTGTGTGTGGTGGTGAGAGGTGATGTGTGGTGGTGGTGGTGGTGGGGTGGTGGTGGTGGTGTGTGGGTGGTGGTGGTGGTGGGTGGTGGTGGTGGTGGGAGAGAGGGTGATGTTGGTGTGGGTGGTGGTGGTGGTGTGGGTGGTGGTGGTGGTGGTGTGTTTTAGTGGATGTGGGTTGTTTTGGGTGAAGGGGATTGGTGGGTGTGGATGTTATGTGGGTGAGGATGTTGTTTGGATGAGGCAATTACTGGGTGTTGTTGGATGAGGATGTTTTTTGTGAGTGAGTTGGTGGGTGATGTGTGTGTGCGTGTCTGTGCGTGTCTGTGTGTGTATGTGCGTGTGTGTGCGTGTCTGTGTGCATACGTTTGAGAGTGAGGGAGGAGGGGGTAGGGGAGAGTTTAGGTGGATGCTGGTGGATAGATATGGATGTTTTGGTGGATGTAGGTACTAACATGAGAGTAGTTGTGTATTAATAACATTGATATTAACGAAATAATAACAAAACATCACCCCAGGAACCATCTCCTCCACCTGGAAACTAACAAAGATTATTTTAGCCAAGGAAATGAAGCTCAGATTCCAGTGACCTGTAACTGATGACCTGTAATTAAAATCTAAACTGACATGAGATCATTATTAGTGACCTGATATCATATATATATATTGACCTGAAAAGATTGAGTGACCTGATATCATAATTTCGTGACTTAAGTCGAGTGTCCTAAAGAAAAACAATTAATGACCTTATATTAAGACTTAAGATGACCTGAAATGACCTGAGATGCAAATTAACATGACTTTACATAAGGAAATAACCTGAATACCTACATAACCTATACCAAACATTTAAGAGAAATTCTGCAACACAAACTGAGATGACTTGACATTAAGATGAGCTTATTTAGTATTACAGAATTTTTCGGACCTTATATTAAAACTTGAAATGACCTTAAGATTGACTTTAATGACTTAACACTCAAATATCAAATGTCTGAACTTTTAATTCTAAGATAAATGACTATAAACATTATACCAAAAGATGTTATATAAATTTGTAATAAATGAATGTTTATGGTAAATATAGCTATAATTATATACAATATTTAAGTTAATATTAATGGTATAATAATCTAGTTTATTATACCTTAATATTAAGAGGTGCATCTAATGACTTAATTAGACAACAGGTAACAGTGATGCTTGGTAGACACATATGGGCTTTATTTTATACCTGGAGATCACCTGAAGAATCTCTACCCCCCCCCCAGTTTATCTCACCTTAAGATTGACCACCCTAACGCTATTGGGAGATGAGGTGAGGTTGGGTTGGGTTGGATTGGGTTGGGTTGGATTGGGTTGGGTTAGCATTGGGGTGGTTAATCTTAAGGTGATCCCACTTAGATGACCACTGTAATCGTGACCTCTGACCCGGTTGACCTTAAATATGTGACCTGATTCAAGCAAGGGGGGAGCACAAAGGTCAGTATTAAGTTAGGAGCTTCTTTTAAGGTCGAAGATGATGTATGAGTGTAATAAAGCAAACTCCAGTGGAACTAGAAAAACAAACAAACAAACAAACAAACAAGCAAGCAAACAACCTCTATAACCAGGCTGATTTTAACCAAGCTTGACCCTTAGCTCAGCTGTTAACCCCATGAGTACGTTGACTTACTTCCTTTGAGTACAGTACAATGAAGTAGCCCTGTAAGATACTGTTAACCCCTTGAAAACAATGATTTAATCCTTTGAGCATATGATGGCATTGTACTCAGGGAATTAAATTCAAGGGTGTTAAATATATCCTACCAAGAAACTTCATTGTACTCAAATGACTAATTTCTTGTACTCAAGGGGGTTAATGACCAACGTTTGTGACCTTTTACTTAAATAAGGTCACGCATGATACAGGTGATCGTGCAGGACAGGTAAGAGTGCTCCCCTGTGCTGTGCTTGATGGTGGTATATAACAATACAAAAGTCCCTCCCAGAACAACTCACAAAAGATCGATTATCTTAAACAATTTACATTTTCAGTAATATTAACTTTAATCCTTGACCAATATTAACTAAACTTTACCTGTATCTACCTATCTGTTACCCCAATCATGTGTATAAATTTCACACAGATCGAATAATGAATTGCTAACATACAATGAGACAAGGACACAAACAAAATCGAGCAGACTTGACTAAACGTTCAACCTTACACCCGATTCACTGCTGGTGGATAGAGAGAACGTTCAGGTGGTCTTTTTTTTTATCCGATTTTATCCGACAAATTAGCTTATTGTTCTCTTAAGGCGGATGGTTATAAATTCCTACATTAATTAAGGCCGGTGTCGACAGCGTTCTATATACACAATGCAACTAAGATGAACAACATAGGAGGGATATTGATCGAATCTATAACAATATTGTATACTTCTTTAGACGAGGTAATTAGGCTACTGAATACACACACACACACACACACACACACACACACACACACACACACACACACACACACACACACACACACACACATCTCTTTTACTAATCTTGTTTTATCATCGTATTTTCATTCCATACTTTTCCATCGATTCCTCCTCTTCCTCTTACCTCCTCTTCCTCTCTTACACACATTCATCCCCTTCTTCCTTCTCCTCACTATTCTCCTCCTCCTCCTGTTATGTCCTTCACTTTTATAATCAACTTCCTCCTCTTAAACCCCTTCCTCTCGCCCTCTTCTTCTTCTTCTTCTTCTTCTTCTTCCTTCTTCTTCTTCTTCTTCTTCTTCTTCTTCTTCTTCTTCGTCTTGTTCTCCTTCTTCTTCTTCTTCTTCTTCTTCTTCTTCTTCTTCTTCGTCTTGTTCTCCTTCTTCTTCTTCTTCTTCGTCTTGTCGGTCATCTGAGGACGTCTTCAGCTATCTTCCGGCGAAGGGTCTCGACTGCATCACCCTCTATCACTACCCAGACACCCCATCTCCTGCTGTTCCTCCTCCTTCTTCCCCTCCTCTTCTTTCTTCTTTCCCTCCTCCACCTCCTCTTCTTCTTCATTCTTCTTCTACTCTTCCTACTCCTCCATTATAACCACGAAGACATACAATTTCCTCCATAAAAACCTTCCAATCATCTTCGTCCCCTTATGCATTCTTCTCCTTCTCCTCCTCCTCCCCCCTCCCCATCCTTCTTCCTCCTCTATCTCCCCCTTCTCCCTCTTTCTCCTCCTACTTAACAAGCTTCTCTCCATCACTACAATTTTCCAGCTAAAGTCTTAAAAATTCAACTTATTTTTCGATCCAATTTGCTGAAAAATATTCCTATTCTCCTGACGGTCTGCGAGAACAGGATCTAGCACCTTAACATTCACCTGTCTCCTTCCCTCTTCCTTCTTCCTTCCTCCTCCTCCTCCTCCTCCTTTTTCTTGTCTCTATTTCCTCTTTCATATCCATCATCGTTTACTTGTCATTACACACATCTCTCTCTCTCTCTCTCTCTCTCTCTCCCCTTCTCATTCTTCCCTTCCATCTACCTCCCATTCTCTCCCTCCCATCACCCACTAAACCTATCCGTGACCCCCCCTCCTAGATATGACGCCATCACCCTCTCACTATCCCATCACCTCCCTCTCACCATCCCATCACCTCTCTTTCACCATCCCATCACCTCTCTTTCACCATCCCATCACCTCTCTCTCACTATCCCATCACCTCCCTCTCACTGACCCATCTCTCTGTTCAATTGATTCTTCCATTATCCTCGCAACCGTGCCCACCCACCTCTCCCATCACCCAGCCCACCCACGTCTCCCCATCACCCAGCCCACCCACCGTCACCATCACCCAGCCCACCCACAGTGCCCACCCAGCCCACCCACCGTGCCCACCAGTGCCCACCCAACCCACCGTGCCCACCGTGCCTACCAGCCAAGACCTGGTTTAGGGAACTCACGCATACGGTTCTCTGCCGTCTTGAAGGTGAAGGCCTCCACCAGGCGGTAAGGACTCCTGCCGTAGGAGGTGTGAGACGACACATACACCACGTAGTCCTGACCAGAGGTGAGGCCACGCACCAGGAACCTGAAGGATACCAAGGATACCGTCAGTACAGGGAAGGAGTTATAAGGACAGTGACAGTATGATACAGTATGACAAGACAGGTGAATAATGACAAGGACAGTGACAGTACAGGTAAGGAATAACAAGGACAGTGACAGTACAGGTAAGGAATAACAAGGACAGTGACAGTACAGGTAAGGAATAACAAGGACAGTGACAGTACAGGTAAGGAATAACAAGGACAGTAACAGTACAGGTAAGGAATAACAAAGACAGTGGCAGTACAGGTAAGGAATAACAAGGACAGTGACAAAGACATAGACAGTGCATATAACAAATACCAAAACATGGACACTAAGATATTCGTTAAAAACCTGAAAAAATAAGAAAATTTAAATAGTAATTACATAGATAAAAACATGACTGTGCTTATCCCTGTCTGTCTGTATGATGAGTATATGTAATTCCTGTGTAGTTGTTTCTTGACCATCCAAAAATGACACCCCCCCAAAAAACACCTAAAAAAACACACAAATTATATTAAAAAAAATCGAGAAATCGGTAAAAATACGCACCCATGAGAGGAGGAAGGGCTTAGAATTTATATATTTTGAATTAGATGAATTTTGATAGATATAAACAAACAGGAAGCAAAGAAAAGTGACGAGAAACAACACACCCACGAGTCAGGTCTCTGGACACACACCCATAAGTCAGGTCTCTTATGAACACCCCCTCCCCCCTTCCCCCACAAGTCAGGTCTCTCTGTGAACATTACTGCCGCGTATGTTAGCAGGTAAGTCATTATACGAAATGAGACACCTGGCCAAATTACAGCCCGTGGATTATGAAGTAACCAAACGGCAGGTGAGGGCATCATTACGGGTTATAGAGCTGTGACGGAGGAGGAGGTGGGGGGGGGGATCTAGTGACGGAGGGGTTGAAGGTGTAGAAGAGGTGATGTTTCCTCCCCCTTTCTTTCCTTTTCTTTCTGTCTCTGATCCTCTCCCTTATCATTCTACCTCTCTTCCTTCCCTCTCCCACTTACCCCTATTTCCTTCTTCTCCCTTTTATTCTCTCTTTTCTCCCTCTCCTGCACCTTTCACCCCCTCCCCCCCCCTTTCCCTCCTCCTCACCGATCATAAACATCAGAGGTATTATGGGAACTACTGTACACGTAAGAGGAGTGAATCAGGGCATATAATAGCCTATCCCCTCCTTTCCCTCCCCCCCTTCCCCTCCTTTCTTTCCCTCTCCTTCCCTTCCCTTACCAAACCCTCCCCTTTTCCATCATCTTCCTCTTTTCTCACCTGCCTCTCTCTCCCTTCAACCAGGACATTCTTTCCTCCTCCTTTCCCTTTCTCTCCTCCCTTCTCCCCTTCCTCCACCCCCCCTCTCACCGGGCACCAGAAGGCCTAATCAGTTCATAACCATTATTGTCGAACAAGGTGTCGAGAGGCAGCTCAATCACGACAACCTGTGATGGCAGCTCTCCCTTCTTCTGTGAGGGAGGGAGGGAGAGAGGGAGGGAGGGAGAAGTAGGGTGATAATTAGTGAGAAGGTATTGAGGTAGATTCTCCTCTTTCTCCCTATCTCCTCCTTCTCTCTTCCACCCCTCTCTACTTCCCTCTCATTAATTAATTCAATGAGGATGACCACCCCTCTCCCCCACTCTCCTCACTGGGTCCTCCCGCCTCTCAATGGGTCACGTGACGAGCAGGAGGCATTGTCTTCCAGCCCGTGAAATCACCATTACAATGACGGTCACGGTGTGTGGTGTGCTGGTGAGGGGGGAGGGGTGAGGGGGGGACTGAAGGTAAGGAGGCTAGTGTTGGTGGTAGTGGTGGTAGGGCATCTCTCTCTCTCTCCTACAGGAACTCATTACCTCATAACTAATCTCAATCTTCACTAAGTCCAATCTCAACTAATCTCAAATAACCACTAATCCCAATCACAGGTAATCCTTGCAAATAACCACTAATCCCAATCACAGGTAATCCTTGTGGCGGGAAGAGTTTATTGAACACCGTGTTATGAAGGCAGTATTTCTTCACTGCAATTTGGTGCTGAAGTAATAATGGCGTATAGTCCGTGTTAAAGGTGTGTTATTGGTACAGGTGTGTGGTGCAGGTGTGTTATTGGTACAGGTGTGTGGTGCAGGTGTGTGGTGCAGGTGTGTTATTGGTACAGGTGTGTGGTGCAGGTGTGTGATGCAGGTGTGTTAGTGGTACAGGTGTGTGGTGCAGGTGTGTGATGGGTGTGTTGTTGGTACAGGTGTGTCAGAGTGCAGGTGTGTTATTGGTACAGTGGGTGCAGGTGTGTTAGGTACAGTGTGTGGTGCGTGTTATTGGTACAGGTGTGTGTGGTGCAGGTGTGTTATTGGTACAGGTGTGTGGTGCAGGTGTGTGATGCAGGTGTGTTAGTGGTACAGGTGTGTGGTGCAGGTGTGTAATTGATACAGGTGTGGTATAGATGTACAATATAGATAAAAACACGTATCACAGGTAAATATACATATAAATATATCACCTACATGTATCGTCAATGTATCTGATATCCTTCCCTGCACAACCACACACAACACCGCCACACTAACAAGCTAACACAGACCAACCCAAACATTGAAGTAGTCTGATGTCTGTGTCTGTCTGTCTGTCTGTCATTCTGTCATTCTGTCTGTCTGTCTGTCATTGAGCTACACCCCCAAACACCCTCTCGTTCAACCTCCTGGACACAAAGCCTCGGTATATGGACACAGTCAACCACCTAAATGTTATGGTTGACGACACTACACGGTCCGCTATGCTCACAGGACACTACAAATGGTGTTAACAATACAAGACAGTGAGTCCCGTCTCCTCCTCCTCCTGCTGCATATCGCCTTTCATCTCTCTCTCGTCTACTAGAGCGAGTTGGAGGTCCCTGTGTCGTTCTTATGTCAATACTGGGGCTATGTCACTCATGGATGCAGTGTATAGATCTCTCTCTCTCTCTCTCTCTCTCTCTCTCTCTCTCTCTCTCTCTCTCTCTCTCTCTCTCTCTTAGGCTACAGGGAGGAAGGAAGGGGGGGAGTGGGAGGGAGAAGGAAAGTGGGAGGAGTAGTGGAGGGGAAGAAATGGGAGGAAGAAGGATGGGGGAGTGGATAGAAGAAGGATATGGAGGAGTGGGATGAAGGGGGAGAAGTGGGAGAAAGAAAGGAGATGGAGGAAGTAGGAGGAAGAAAAGGGAGGGGGGGAGTGGAGAAAAAAGGGGACAAAGAAGTGAGAGAAATGGTGATTATCTTTTAAGCCAGCCAGGTCCCCCTCCCCCTCTCTCGTAATAAGAGGGGAAAGCGTTGTTGGTAACGAGTCAATTAGGTCATTCTAAAGTCAAAGTCAGGTCAGGGCAGTTGTCTCGTGTAAGTTGCGGTCACTTCACGAGCCAGTCACACCACCATCAACACACTCGTATGGCCAGTGTTATGGTGAGCAGCAAGGTCATGACAGCCACTGTTAACCGAGGCATCTCAACACAGTCCACTCCTTAAACCAGGTCATTGTCACCAGCCTCTCCCATAAGGTCAGTTCAGTCACCAGTCTCACCAATCACGCCAGTTCAGTCACCAGTCGCTCCCATAAGGTCAGTCCAGTCATCAGTCTCTCACGTAAAGCCAGGTCTAGTCACCAGCCTGCCCCTGTCCCTCTGAGGAAGTCAGGTCATTGTCAGTAGCTGAGTCACAAGTGTTTGTTCTCGTTCTGTCCACTGGCCAGGTTCACACGGCTGTCGAGGGGGAGGGGGGCAGCTCCTCCTCCTCCTCCTCCTCTTTTGCCCCCCCCCTTCTCTTCCTCCTCTTTCTTCTTGTCCTTCTTTTCTTCCTACTCTTCCTCCTCGTCTTTCTCTTCGTCTTTCTCCCTGTCCTCTTCTCCCTCCTCCTCTTTCTCCATGTCCTCTTCTTCCTCCTCCCCCTCTTCTTCTTCCTCCTCTTCTTCTTCCTTCTCCTCCTCTTTCCCATCCTTCTCCTCTTCCTCCTCCTCTTCCCCCTCCTCCTCTTCCTCCCCCTTCTCTTCTTCCTCCTCCAAATCATCACCATCACCATCATCATCACCATCATCACCATCACTATCATCATCACCATCACCATCACCATCATCAACACCATCATCACTATCATCATCACCATCACCACCACCACCACCATCACCATCCTCACCATCACCATCACCATCATCATCATCACCAACAACATCATCATCACACCATCCTCCATCATCATCATCAGTTACATTGTCAAGGTCAGGGGAAATATGTGTGAGGGTCTTGGTACGAATATTAATGGATGACAGTGCCAACTGGTTGGTTGTTTTTGATGGCTGTTTGTGAGGGAGATGGGAGGAGAGGGAGGGGTGAGGGAGATGGGAGGGAGGTGAAGAGGAAAGGGGAGGGAAGAGTGTGTTTGTCTTAGGGTGTATGATGTGATGGTTCTGAGTGTGTGTGTGTGTGTGTGTGTTTGACTGACGCCTTACCTTCTAGTCTGTGTGTTTGTTTATCATATTGTGTCTATTTGTCCTTTTTTATGTCTGTTTATAAGGTGAATTTACTGTTTTGTTTGTCTGTCTGTCACCGTGTCTGTGTCTGTCTGTGTCCCTCTCTCAGTCGGATCAAAATGGTGTCCAAAAATATTCGACGGTAAAAAGAACAGCTTGTCCCCCCCCTTCGCCCTCAATCTCTCCTCCTCCTTTCCCAGCCCCCCTCCCAGCGCCCCCCCCCCACCTCCTCCTCTTCCAGGTAAATCTCAGCTTTGCCTAAAATAGCACACCTCCCTCCCCTCTCTCTCCTCCCCTCCCTCCTCCCCTCACCCTCCCCTCCCCTCTCTCTCCTCCCTACCCCTCCTCCCCCCACCCCTCCCCCTCTCTCTCTCCCCTATCCACCTCCCTCCCTCTCTCGAACTCTCCCATTTTCAGTTCTGTGCCTATCCTCTCTCTCTCTCTCTCTCTCTCTCTCTCTCTCTCTCTCTCTCTCTCTCTCTCTCTCTCTCTCTCTCT